AAATTTTCTTTCATCCCGAAACGACCGAGAGATGGTGGAAGGTAGTCTAGCGGAGCAGACTATTACCGTACGGTGTTCCTTTCTATGCCAATAAGAAAGGCACCCCGTTATACCATGACTCGCATTAGTATTTGCTTAAGTACGACATGTAAACCAATTTCAGAAAGGATGTGGCACACAATGTGCGCATTATATTTTATTTCTTAAGTATGAATAATGTGTCATAAGTTATTAACCCAAATGGTAAAATGTATAATTAATATGGCCCAAATGTTTTTATTAAAACCAGAATATATTTATTAATGGTTTATTAAAAATAAGAAAACAATGTTTCACGTTTCATAAATACAGAATTTGGTCCCTCTCTCTACCCACTCACATTATGTTATTTTCCATCACTTGCATAGTACATTAAGGTCAAGAGAGAGAGAATCAAATTTCAAATCCAATCAATCTTCATGGTTAATTGATCTTCTTGTACTTCTAATCAGTCTATTCATGTACAAGTGCTTGAGTAAAAGAAATTATGTTTAGGTTTGTGACCTAAATTCAGTTGATTTTCTTTGGGAAAATATTGTTTTCTTTATTCCACGCATTTTTTATACTATTTCCATTTTAAGAATATTGTTAGGATTTTGATATGTTTACAAGCTAATTTATTATAGAAGTTAGAATAATTGTGAGAAATACAATTGTTATAATTCTTTTTCTATTATAGTTGAATAAAATCTCAAATTCCTCTATCAAATTAAATTATAACCTCATTCTGCCCCGAACAAGTAGTATAAAAGCTTTGATTTTTTGATTTGTTCGTTGTAGTTGTTCTTGATGACAACCATGAAGTATATGATATTCCGCTTTTGGATCTGATGAAGTGAATAAGGAGTTAGAGTTTATGATGAAGTGGGATCACAAAGGAAAAAAATGATTTCTTGATAACTTCAGGTTTATCCCTTTTTGGGAAATTGCATGTCTAATTTGATTGGAAACGGGCCAATAATCACAACTTATACCTTTGGCCATAACGTACGTCGGATTTTGGGCAGACTCCATCGTTTAGGCACTCGATTATGCGTTTTTGCCGTTTATGGTAATTTTTATTTCAGTAATATTTCATTCAATAAAATTCGGATTCATATTCCGTTTGTTGGAGGACGATCCTGAATCTCAGGAGTTTCCATTTAAGTTGTTAGCTCGATTTTTTCCGTTTATGGAAAAATATCGTTTTTTTNGATCACAAAGGAAAAAAATGATTTCCTGATAACTTCAGGTTTATCCCTTTTTGGGAAATTGCATGTCTAATTTGATTAGAAACGGGCCAATAATCACAACTTATGCCTTTGGCCATAACGTACGTCGGATTTTGGGCAGACTCCATCGTTTAGGCACTCGATTAAGCGTTTTTGTCGTTTATGGTAATTTTTATTTCAGTAATATTTCATTCAATAAAATTCAGATTCATATTCCGTTTGTTGGAGGACGATCCTGAATCTCAGGAGTTTCCATTTAAGTTGTTAGCTCGAATTTTTCCATTTATGGAAAAATATCGTTTTTTTTATATTTATAAATTATTTTCCGAAATTTGCTAGGGTTTTGCTATTTAAACCGTTGTAAGCCCTTAGAGTCAGTCATTATNTTATTATTTATTTTTCGAATTTTGCTAGGATTTTACTATTTAAAGCATTGTAAGCCCCTTGAGGCAAGACATTATTGAATAAAATAAAATTTTCGTAAGTTTTCTCTCATCTTTGTGAGGTTATTCATCTCTCCTATGATCTTTCGCTACGTCAGGATCGCAGCACTAAATTCTCATTATGGCAAGTGAATATACGAGTTGTACTTGCGTAGATGAATTTGGATGATGCGTTGATGGGATTTGATAAGATGCTATCAACTAAGTCGACGAAGGATAAACAACGTATGAATCAGAATGCACTTTCACAAATTTATCTTCATATTTTAAATAACATTCTTCGGGAAATTTTGAAAGAGAAAACGGCAACTGCATTGTGGTTAATTTGGAGAAATTGTGCATAACTAGGAGTAAACGAGCAAATTGCACCAAAAATTGCATTTGTATTCTCATCCATGATAGAAGGAGAATCGTTAGAAGGTCACTTTGCTGTTTTTAAGGAGTTTGTCGCTGATTTGGAGACTTTATAGGTAATGTATGATAAAGAGGATTTGGTCTTAATTCTTTTGTGTTTGTTGCCCGCTTCATTTAGAGACACAATTTTATATAGTTATGATAGCTTTACCATTGAAGATGCGTATGATACTTTATTTTCAAAGGATAAAATGAAACATCTGGTTGGATTTGAGGCTAGAGATGAAAAAGACCTTGTTGTATATGGTGGTCGCAGACAGGTCACGTCAAAATCTAATTTCAGTAATTAAGTTTGTTTTTTATTGCACAAAGAAAAAACGCATCAAGAGGGATTGTAACAAATTGCAAAATAAAGGATTTTTGGTTGCAAATCGGGAGAAAAAGTAATTAAAAACTACAGGTGAAGCTGATGTCGCATAGAACTACTTGTTTGATGAAAATATGTTGGTTATTTCTGACGGGGTGTCCAAACTTGGCAAGGATTAGATTTTGGATATTGCTTGTGCTTTTCATATGTGTCCCAATCGGTACTTGTTTTCAACATATGAAACAATTTTGACATGTGTCATGGTCATGGAAAACAACGCACCTTGTCGAGTAGCTGGTATTGGTAGAGTCAAGCTTAAGCTGGTGGATGAGACATAAACTTAATCAGGTTCGACATGTTCCAGATTTGGAAAAAAATCTCATCTCATTGAGTATGCTTGATTCAAAAGGTACAAGTTCTTTGGTGAAAGTGAAGCTTTGAGGGTTTGCAAATATGTTCGTGTTGCATTAGAGGGTCGAAAAAAGTCGCAGTTGTATGTATTCCAAGGTTGTACAGAATCTGTGAAGAACAATCAACAAAGGTTTAGTATCATGGCGGATATTCAGTTTCATACAGTACCATTGTGATTTGGTTTGGGGTCCACGTTGAAGAATACAACTCCGTCGAGTTAGGAGGATATGGGTAATGACGCTTTGCCGCCACTTGCGTTGCCATCGTATTCAATTGTTAGGGATAGAACCAATAAAGATAGGTATGAGGATATTGATTTTGTTGCCTATGCTTTAAGCGTATTCGAAGGTGTTGAGTCTAGCAAGAGGCCTTCTACAAAAATATTTGGTGTTGATTCTGTTTCAAGGTATGTTTCAGCCCTATTTGGTAAATTTTAAATCATTTGTAATTTTTGGTTGATCCCGAGGTAACTTTGCGGAGCAGAGCTTGAATTTATTTATCCTAATTGGATATCTTGGAAGAGGTGGAGATTTTTCAATTCGTTTGAGAAGTTAGTTTAGTTTTTTGTTGAAAAGTTCAGTTTATTTCTTGCAGTTGGATTGTGGAGAAAATTTGGAACTTCGTTCATTGCAGTGGAATTTGTGTCAAGGTAGATATTATTGGGTTTGTGACCCAAATCCGGTTAGGTTTTTTTGGGAATATATATATATATATTGTGTGTTTGATGGAAATTATTAAGGAAAGAATGTATATTAAATAGTGATATCATGAGAAATATGTGGTTAAAAAGTAAGGAAACGATATTGATGTGACAAAAAATATTATTTTATTGAAAAATATTTGATTGAAAATAAGTTTTGAAAGAATGTATTTTAAAAGAATGTGTGGAAAATAGGGGCTTTATTCCACAAGTTTTTTATTGGAAAAAAATTGTTTCCTTTATTCCACATGTTTTTTATACTATTTCCATCTTTAAAAATATTGTTAGGATTTTGATATATCCTCCATATATAGTTGGCTCTTCTTTATGAGCTGGGTGGTTTATTACAGAAGTCAAAATAATTTTGAGAAACACAATTGTTGTAATTCTTTCTCCATTATAATTGAATAAAATCTCTAATTCTTTCGCCAAATTAAATTTTTGTATTTTTGTTCATCTATTTTTTTGTGTTCAGTACTTCATATTGTGCCATATAACCTCTATTTGCCCCCAACAATTTGAGGAGGCAATTGAATTTAAAGGTAAGTCTCCCTATCCATCTAATACTGTTAAAATTATTGAGTTATAAGCTTCTATAACTAAAGTCAGACAGTTCTCTTTTTCTGTATGAACTATATATAATTTACATATGAGAATCAACATGTTATGATGCGACAACGTCCTTAGGAAGCCGTACTCTATGGGAATAGGTTGGGGTCTGCTGGCCAACAAACTTAAATAAACTAAGGTCATATAATTAGAGTAGAATTCAACGCTTCCCTCTCAACCTGGGCAAATGGATGAAGGACAAAATGCAACAAATTCATAACATTACAATAAAATTCGTAACATTACGTTTGAAAATATTATTTATAGAAACTACTGCACTTCTAAGTAAAATAAAATGACGTATGCTACCTAAGAATGTGATACTCCAAAGAAATATAATGGAATTTAAGTTACTTGTACATTTGCTCTGAAAAAAAAAACAAGGTTCTTTAGTTGAACTTAAAAATTAACGATGTTTATTGAGATTACATGCTAAAAAGGTGTAACAAATGAACCGATAAAACATGCTTGTCTATCCATATCTATGAAGGACGTATTGAGAGCCATCGGTGTAACATTGCAAGACATTCTTTAGGGTTGTATTCTGGTGCTGTATGACCTGCACCCTGTAAAATAAAATTGCACTTTCATTTATTTTTTCTTCAAATATTCTTTGTGATAACGAGTGTAGTCGGACTTTTCTTACCTTCACTGTTACAAATGGGAGATTGAATTCATTCTTCTTAAACTTCAATGTGTATCTACAAGGTTTACATTTTATCGAAATTTTGAGAATAATACCAAGAAATTTGTACAAGTATAAACATATAGAACATAAAATGGAAACCAACCCCGCAATTTGGCCATTAACATGATAGGGTCTCAAGTCATCATCAGTCATATTGAGACTGCGAATCCATTTTAAAGGACCCATATAAGGTGCTAACATGTCATGATCACCACTGGAAAAAAGAAGCATAATCAGAAAACATATATAAATTTACATGTTTGTATAGTTACATTTTTCGTTAAATGATCAACCACGAAATATAAATCAGAAAATATATTTTAGTTGATAGATAAGACTAAACGTAGAACAAATTAAGTTGTAATTTTAATTTAGCAAGAAACTTATATGACTTACTTATATATTAGAACATTGTATCCTTTCTTGCTGAAAATTTTATGATGGTAAAGAACACTTTCTTGATTCACTTCATAAGATAAGCTTTGGTTGCATCTCGTCCAATATCCTATTGTCCCCTCGTGATCAAAATACATGATTATCCTTTTTTTTCGAAAAAATATATTATTTTCTTTTTTTAGATAGCTAGCACATGATATAGCATGCTGGATCTTTTGATGTGTTTGAGTACGAAAATCCAGTGCCAACAGGCCAATCAATAAATATAATATTGGCAACCTGAAAACCATATAATTATATTGTAAATGTAGAGAGCTATTGAAGACATACATACATGAGTTATATCATGCATGGAGCGAAAGGAATTTTTACCTTGGTCCATGAATGTGGATTTAGAAGAATAGATGGTAAGCTTCCAATAAAGTTTGCAACATCAAAAGATAATGGACCTGCACACAAGCGCAAATAATAAAAGTTATATTATAAATTATTAAAAAAGAATATTATTCTTTCTACATCCATAAATCTTGCTTGTTGTATATACCAATTTCTAGCATATTTGGAGAATAATGTGTAACCTGTTGGTCAAATTGTTTAATTTTGTTGGGGATTGAACCAATATAACAAAAAAGCAGCGGAAACAATTAATCCAACCCCTTAATGTACAAGAATTAAAATGGCAACTAAAATAGGCAAATCTAACAAACTCACACACACTAGCAG